AGGTTTTGGCAGGAGACTGTCAGCAACCTATCAGAACTCCCCGGCGGGTGACCTATCAGACGACACCTTTTGGAAATAGCGGTCTGACATTCAACTCATAATGAAACCAGAAGCGGAATTGCCCGCGGCGTTGCTTGCCATCTGTAAGAATGACTCCCAAGGGGAATTGAATGGAGCCTTTATTTTTAGCTTGCCCTTGGCCGCATAATTCCGAGGGGGGGTGAAACTGAAGACAGTAATGGGACAACATAATACTTGTGTGACCAGCCTAGGCACGGCTTAGCTGCGCGCTGCAGATCCCGTCCGTGAAATAAGGAGTCCGAGAAACGGCTTAAGGGGTGACAGACTTCACTATCCAAAAATGTTCCGGAGGCTCCGAGCGCTGTAATTAAAGTCCTTTCAGGGGCAATGAGCAGCCCTGGCAGAGAGCAGATCCCCGCCATCCATGAATGAGATCCCTCTACTTATAGCTGAAGAAACACAAATCCTCCATTTGGAGTTTCTGCCGCAGGATCGGTGAATGCCGGATCTGTCACTCCGCCGACTTCGCTGAACACATTGTCAGGCTGCCAGGTTTTAGGTCCTCTTGTCTGAGAGCAACTCTGCAATATGGAGGAATTGGCTATAGAGCACTTAGATTGTCAGCTCCTTGGCGACAGGAATCTGTTAACTTTTGTTTTACTTGTTTGCTACAGTTGTGTCAGAGCAAAAATAACAATGTAACAATAATACGTATGACAGTGTGTCACTGGGGTTGGCTGTACAGCGCTGCGGTATATGTCAGAGCTATATACATGTATAATAATAATAGTGTGTGACAGTGGGGGAGGGGGCATTAGAGTGTTAGCTCCTCTGTACAGAGACTGATGTGACTGCGGGGGAGGGGACATTAGAGTGTAAGCTCCTCTGGTACAGAGACTGATGGGACTGGCCGAGTGTTCTCTGTACAGCGCTGCGGTATATATCAGAGCTATATACATGTATAATAATAATAGTGTGTGACTGTGGGGGAGGGGACATTAGAGTGTAAGCTCCTCTGGTACAGAGACTGATGTGACTGTGGGGGAGGGGACATTAGAGTGTAAGCTCCTCTGGTACAGAGACTGATGGGACTGTGGGGGAGGGGATGTTACAGTGTAAGCTCCTCTGGTACAGACACTGATGTGACTGTGGGGGGAGGGGACATTAGAGTGTAAGCTCCTCTGGTACAGAGACTGATGGGACTGTGGAGGAGGGGACATTAGAGCGTAAGCTCCTCTGGTACAGAGACTGATGTGACTGTGGGGGAGGGGACATTAGAGTGTAAGCTCCTCTGGTACAGAGACTGATGGGACTGTGGAGGAGGGGACATTAGAGCGTAAGCTCTTCTGGTACAGAGACTGATGTGACTGTGGGGGGAGGGGACATTAGAGTGTAAGCTCCTCTGGTACAGAGACTGATGGGACTGTGGGGGAGGGGACATTAGAGTATATGCTCCTCTGTACAGAGAGTGATGTGACTGTGGGGGAGGGGACATTAGAGTGTAAGCTCCCCTGGTACAGAGACTGATGTGACTGTGGGGGGAGAGGACATTAGAGTGTAAGCTCCTCTGGTACAGAGACTAATGTGACTGGCTCAGTGATCTCTGTACAGCGCTGCGGTATATGTCAGAGCTATATAAATGTATTATAATAATAATACTGTGTGACTGTGGGGGAGGGGACATTAGAGTGTAAGCTCCTCTGGTACAGAGACTGATGTGACTGTGGGGGAGGGGGCATTAGAGTGTAAGCTCCTCTGGTACAGAGACTGATGTGACTGTGGGGGAGGGGGGGTGTTAGAGTGTAAGCTCCTCTGGTACAGAGACTGATGTGACTGTGGGGGAGGGGACATTAGAGTGTAAGATCCTGTGGTACATAGACTGATGTGACTGTCTCAGGGGAGAGCAAGAGGCATACCTACAGGGGTCACAGAGGTCACCTCATGCTGCAGGGGGCCCGTGTGGCCCCCCTGTACACTTGGATGCGGCTGTATATAGAGGAACTGATCTCTCAGTGTACCCTCCTGCAGCAGCTTTATGCCTGCGGGTGGGAGAGGAGGAGAAGCGGCCATTCAGCTTTTATATGGTGCCCCACCCCCCGTGTGCTCTCTGCCCCCTTATCTCTCTCCTGCCCCCCCCCCCTTGATCCCCACAGCTCTGCCAAGCCCCCCCCCCTTCTCCTGCCAGCTGCTGCGGAGATCTGTCAGAATGGAGAGCTGGTAAGGGACCAGTAAACATGTCACTTACCGGTCCCATCCTTTTCTAAATGGAGAGTCAGCGATCCGACTGGGACCTGGCATTCTGCCCCCAGGGTTTGAGGGAAGGGCCCTGGCCAAGGGTCAGGGGGGACCCTTCATGGTTTCTTGCACCGAAGCACTGAAGGTTCTAGTTACACCATGGGGAGAGCAAATGATTTTTCTTGAAAGCTTTTGAATGTCATAATCATTTGAAACAAAGTACAAACCAGGAGTGGACTGACCATTTGGAAACTTGGGCACTGCCCGAGGGTTTGGGGTCAGTAGGGGGCCCCATGAGATGCCCCTGGTACCTTTTTCATAGGCTATTTTGAGTTTGGGCAAGGCCACAGGGGCCACATGATCCACTATTGCCCGAGGGCCCCATGAGTTGTCAGTCCGCCCCTAGTACAAACCTTCCTAAACTGTATGGAATTCCATACAGAGGGTACAACTTATCTAGTTTGAGCTCTGGCTTGTCCTTCTGGCATTACATGAGTACACAAGGCCATCTCGGTGTGTAGAACCCAGAGATCACTAACCTAATGTTTTTGGGACCCCCTAAATCTAAGCACATCAGTGGTTCCCAGTTCCATCACCTGAAGTTCTAACTCCACCAGCATGGATTCCCAGATTCACCATAAAGGGTTTCCAACTCCACCAGCAGGGGTTTCCAACTCCATCATCAGGGATTCCAACTCCATCACCAAGAATTCTCAATTCCGCCACCACAAGTTCCTAATTTCACCACCAAGGATTCCCAAATCCACCGCCGCAGGTTCCAAACTCCACCATCAAGGATTCCCAGTTCCACCACCACATGTTCAACTCCACCATCTGGGATACCCAACTCTATCACAGAGGGTACCACCTGCAGTTTACAACTTCACCACCTGGGGTTCCTAACTTCCAGCAGCATGGATTCCCAGCTTCAACATCAAGGGTTTCAAACTCCACCAGCAGGGGTTCCCAACTCCATCATCAGGGGTTCCAACTCCATCACTACATGTTCCCAATTCCATTACCAAGGGTTCCCAACCCCACATGGGGATACCAAATCCACCGTCAAGGATTCCCAACTCCACCACCATATGTTCCCAACTCTACCACCTGGGATATCCAGCTCCACCACTACGGATTTCCAACTACACCAGAGGTTCCAACTTCACCATCTGGTGTTGCCAATCCCACCATCAAGGGACCCAACTCCACAACCAATGGTTCCTAACTCCACCACCTGGTGTTCCCAATTCCACCACCATGGGTTCCCAACTCCAGCACCAAGGGTTTCCCAGCTACACCACCACAGGTTCCCAACTCCAACACCACAGGCTCCCAACACCAGTACCTGGGGTTCTCAACTCCTCCACTACAGGTCCCCAATACCAAGGATTCTCAACTCCATTAGTATCTTTATGCAGGCCAATTATTTATACTAATGATTGTCGGAACACTGTGAAAGTCTTGCTCCTTCAGGATGCAAGGGATCATGGGAAAATGAAATGGACGTAGATTGTAAAGAGATGGGCCCAGTCTTGGGGGTTTCCTGGATAAAATGAGATAACTGATTTTTTTTCTGTTTGTTTCTGAACTTTCTAAGTAGTAAGTTCACCATCGGACCACCGTGTCCTCCCTCTGCGTCCAGCGTGCTGGGTGTAATTTATGGAGTGAGGGGAACTCAACGTATGTTGACTATGTGGCTTTCCTTCACACTCGAGGCTGAAATTATGGACACATTTTTTTTGCTTACTAATGATATCAGCCTCATTAAAAGATGTTTTGCTTCGAGAATAGAAAAATACAAAGTTTATAGATTTTATTTCTTCCCTTTCTGCGGAGTGGAGGTCTCGTGGAAAGGTTGGGTGGTCTCGGCTTGGTTCCTGAAACCTGGGGATAGCAACCGCCAACTTGGCATCTCCATCTGATTTCCCAGGGGCTAGCGGTTTTAATTGCAGCAAGAATAAAAAAAACTGACTAACTGACTGGACAGCTTACGTTTCAGAAGTGGTCTGCAAAAGTACAAACTGCCATGTGTATCTTTATACAATATTATCCATTATTTTATACACCTCCAGCCGCCCCTTCAGGCTTGCACAGGCTCCTCTCCTGGACTGAAACGGCTTACTTTGATTTCACTGCACACTGTGAGCTTCTCACCATGTGCAGTAGAAGCTGCAGCAAGTCAGATAGAGCTTCACTTCATTTAATGGTTGGAGGACGTCCAACCTCATCTAGCTCTGTGCTCCCCAGCTTGACTATCTCTGACCTGCCCATTTCATTGATTGGATTTCAGTTCTTTCAGCCCTGGAGCATCACATGTGGGTGATATCGGGGGTGGTCTGTGTGCAAACAAAGCCTGCCTGGGAACACCCACTCCTCCAGACTAAAACCCACCCATCGAGGTTTTTTTGATATTTGCATACCTCCTCCCAAGAGACAGCTTAGTGCTCGCATCAGGACCGAGGGCTCGTGAGCAGAGTACTTAGGCAGGTTGCTGTGAAAATTTCAGGGAGCCCCCTGTTAGCCCCTCCCAGTAGTCATGATTTGTTTGCGTTGCATAGAGAAGAACAGAGACCCGGTGGCCATGTCCCTGGATTTAAAAATAAAGTATGTAATGAAAACTGAAACATTTTGTCTTATTTTATCTAAGAATTGGGTTGGTTGGTTGGTTGGTTGGTTGGTTGGGGGACAATTTCTGTCTACAATTTTCTAGCTGTTCCAGGAGAAATAAATAATTAATTGTAATCCTCGACTCCCATCAGTTCTTTCACCCTCAAATCCAATCTCTGTCCAAATCTTGTAGACTTCACCTCCGCAACATCTCGCAACCTCCCGCAACATTTCCAACCTCTGCAACATCTCCAAGATACAGCTGTTCTTAACCTCTGAAACCACTAAGCAACTTATTCCCTCCATGGATATCTCTCGCCTTGACTATTGTAACTCCCTCCTCATTGGCCGACCTCATCGCAGGCTATCCCCTCTTCAGTCTATCATGAATGCTGCTGCCAGACTCATCCACCTTACTAACTGTTCTGTATCTGCCATCCCTCTCTGCCAATCCCTCCACTGGCCTCCACTCAGTGTCCTCCACCCCTCTCTGCCAATCCCTCACTGACCTCCACTCAGTGTCCTCCATCCCTCTCTGCCGATCCCTCCACTGGCCTCCACTCAGTGTCCTCCAGTGCCAGTCCTCCATGGCCTCCACTCAGTCTCTCTGCCAATCCCTCCACTTGCCTCCACTCAGTGTCCTCCACCCCTCTCTGCCAATCCCTCCACTGGCCTCCACTCAGTGTCCTCCATCCTTCTCTGCCAATCCCTCCACTTGGCCTCCACTCAGTGTCCTCTATCCCTCTCTGCCAATCCCTCCACTGGCCTCCACTCAGTGTCCTCTATCCCTCTCTGCCAATCCCTCCACTGGCTTCCCATTGCCCAAAGGATAAAATTCAAAACATTAATTAGTAACAAGGTAAATGACAAGTCAAAAAAAACATCAACCCTATCGTGTCGATGACTGAGCTTGAGGAACGGATAAGGGACCATACACCTATTGCCTAAGATCCGGCGGTAGTGAGAGAAGTAGCAGCATTTGAGTGTAAGGTCAAACCAAGAAATACATAGAACACCTCGTAAATCGTCCCTATGGGAGAGTCAGTGGGGTGAAAGAAAAAAAAAGGGGAGGGGGGAAGAAAGAATTGAAGGAGACCGTCAAGAGTGCTTAAACCTAGGCTATGGATCTTCCAAAATGATGGTGAAGTAAAGCTGCCGATTGACATAGCAGGATGGACATGCCGAATCCATGTGAGAAATCCATGTTGTGAGAAATCTCTGGTGGGCAGGGGCGGACTGACAACTCATGGGGCCCCCGGGCAATAGGGGATCATGGGGCCCCTGTATCCTTGCCCAAACTCAAAAAAACCTTTGAAAAAGGTACCAGGGGCATCTCATGGGGCCCCCTACTGACCCTGGGCCCTCGGGCAGTGCCCGGGTTTCCAAATGGTCAGTCCGCCCCTGCTGGTGGGTATCCGAAAGAATGCTAGAGAGATTTTCAGTAACCAGGAAGAAGTCTAGGGGGCTATGGACTTCCGCAAAAGATATGAACTGTCGTTTCCAAGCGTTTGCTATGGTTTGTTTAGTCACCAATAGTACACGTATAGCCAGCTTAACCGCTTTCCCCACCACACCCTAAAGCAGATATAAAATTAGGGGTTTAGAGTATTTTAGGGTTGGGGGGTTAGGGTTAGGATTAGGGGTTAAAGTTAGGGTTGGGGTTAGATTAGGGGTTTGGAGTTATGGGTTAGAGTTAGGGTTGGAGTTATGGGTTAGAGTTGGGGTTTTTTTTAAGAGTTGGAGTTAGGGTTGGGGTTAGGTTTAAGGGTGGAGTTAGGGGTTAGAGAGTTAGGGGGGGTTAGAGTTTAAGGTTGGGGTTAGGGGATAGAGTTAGGGGTTAGGGTTAAGAGTTGGAGTTAGGGTTGGGGTTGTTAGGGTTAAGAGTTGGAGTTAGGGTTGGGGTTAGTGTTTAGGGGTTAGTGTTAGGGTTGAGGTTAGGGTGGAGGGTTAGGGGTTGGAGTTAAGGTTGGGGTTAGGGGTTAGAGGTTAGGGTTGGGGTTAGTGTTAGAAATTAGGGGGGGGTTAGGGTTGGGGTTAGTGTTAGAAATTAGGGGTTAGAGTTAAGGTTGGGGTTAGGGGGTTGGAGTTAGGGTTAGGGGGGGGGGTTAGGTTTAGGGGTTGGGAAGTTTTTGGCTTGGGGTTAGGGGGTGTGAGTTAGGGCGGGGGTTAGGGGTTAAGAGTTGGAGTTAGGGTTGGGGTTAGTGTTAGGGTTTGGTGGTTAGGGTTTGAGGGTTAGATTAAGTTTGGGGGAAATTAGGGGTTAGAGTTAAGGGGGGGGTTAGGGGGGGAGGGAGGAGGGGGTTTAGTGTTAGAAATTAGGGGTTAGAGTTAGGTGGGGGGGTTAGTGGTTAGAAATTAGGAGTTAGGATTTAAGGTTGGGGGTTAGGGGTAGGTTGGAGTTAGGGTAGGGGGGTGGTTAGGTTTAAGGGGTTGGATTTAGGGTTGGGGTTAGGTGCCGGGGGTTGGAGTTAGGTTTGGGGTTAGGTTTAGGGGTTGGAGTTAGGGTTGGGGTTAGAGTTTGGGTTAGAGTTAGGGTTGGGGTTAGTGTTAAGAGTTGGAGTTTAGGGTTAGTGTGAGGGGGTTAGAGTTAGGGTTGAGTTTAGATTTAGAAAATTAGGGGTTAGAGTTTGGGGTTAGGGTTAGGGATTAGGGGTTTGGGGGTTAGGAGTTAGGGCTAGGAGGTTGGGGATATGGATTAGAGGTTTGGGGGAATTAGTGTTGGGGTTTTGGATTTAAGGGTTACGGTTAGATGTGTTTAGGTTATGTAGGAATTAGGGGTTAGGATTAGTGGTTGGGGGTGAGAGTTAGGGTTAAGGTTGAGGGTAGATGTTAGGGTTTGGTTTATGCTTAGAATTATTGGCGGCTGTTGGGGTTAGGGATTTTTAATTTTTTTTTAGGGTTAGGGGTGTTATATTATTTAAATTTGTAAATGATTATATTTATTAATTTATTATTTTTATTCGTCTACTTTTTAGGGTTAAGGGGGTTAGGGAGTTGTTATTATTATGTATTACTTTCATTATTTATTATTAATTATTTTTATTTCATTGTTTTTTTTACTGTATGTTTTTATATATATATATTATATATATATATATATATTATATAATTTATTTTCTTTATTTAACATTTATTTTATTCACTTATTATCATGATTTTAAACATTTTTTAAATGTGAGCAGAAAAACTCTCCACAAATGTATGATGATGTATGAAAAGTGCACATTTCAATGCATTTCTATGGAGAAAAAAAATGGTAAAAAAAATCAGCCTGATCGAATTAAAAAAGTACCCTCCAAAATATTTTTGAACTTCAGGAGTTTGGCTGCAGGCGACTTGGAGTGGAAATGTGAACCGCCACCATAAAGAATAATTGATTTTTTTCTACTGCTTCGGGCTGCAAAACGCTCAGGGTGTGAATGGAGCCTTACTGAATGAAAGGCTTTGCCTATTGGGATATGTGATGTTCATATCTCAGGAGGTTAAAGCGGGAACAGGGCACGTCGTTTGTCTAGGTCAGGGGTGTCAAACTGGTGGCCCTCCAGCTGTTGCAAACTACAAGTCCCATCATGCCTCTGCCTTTGGGAGTCATGCTTGTCACTGTCAATCTTGCAATGCCCTCATGGGACTTGTAGTTTTGGCAACAGCTGGAGGACTGCCAATTTGATACCTGTGGTCTAGATGAATGGGGGGGGGCGGGGGGGGGGGGTCAAGACAAATTCATTTATAAAAAAGTAAATGAAGGGAAAAAAAAGAGATTCCTAATTGGGCAGAGGGGGGGTGGAGAAGGGGTGAAGGGGAGGGATGAGGATATGGAGGATGAAGAATTGCTTAAAGTGAGGAGCCAAGGCAGATTTATAGTAAATTTTAACATTCGGCATCATCCATAATACATACAGCTTCCCATGAATCCCAGATCCGAGTTTATCACCCTGAAAACATTGGCCTTACATGAATTGACTTTGACATGGCGAGGGGGGAGCAGCATTAGTGGATGGGTGGGACAGATTCTCGGAATGTGCAGAAGAAACCTCAAACAGATGGATGGAGAACGGATGGAGGTAACAGAGAGGAGCGTGATCTCTGAACGGCAGGTCTGCGTGGAGGAAAAGTCTTGTGTGTTTTCTATAACTAATTTGTTTATGTCGGATTTTTAACGCGGCACTTTAGAGAGTGGGCGGAGCTGGAACCAGCCCATATGGAAAATGGAAAAAAATATATTTGAAATATTGAATATTGAAAATATTGAAAAATATTCTTCCCAATATATTATTACAAAAATTTGAAGTGCTACAATGTTGGCCATATTCAATATATTTCAAAACATATTTAAATATATTTTATATATATATATACTGCATGTTGTAATGCATTTTTTAGTACAAAATATATGAAAAATATTTTTAAAAATATATTTCAAATATACTGTATGTCTTTAAAAATACAGATCTGAATTTTTGGAATGCATTTTACAAATATATTTAAAATATATTTTAAAATGACTTTTTTTATATGTTGAAAAAAATCTGAAGAATATAATTTAAAAAAATATATATTTGAGAAAATATTTTCATATATATTTTGGAATAAAAATTGATTTTATTTATGCATGCAGTATATATATGTGTCTTGTTTTGTATATATATTATATAATATATATATATATATATACATACATTTATTCTATATATATACATACATATATATTATTTTTTACCATATATATACACATATATTACACACATATACACACACACTCTTTATATATATATACAGGTGAAACTCAAAAAATTAGATATGGTGCAAAAAGTCATTTATTTTTTTTGCAGCAATTTTTTAAAAGGTGAAACTAATATATGAGACTCATTCCATGCAAAGCAAGATAGTTCAAGCCGTGATTGTCATCATTGTGATGATTATGGCTTTACAGCTCATGAAAACCCCAAATCCACAATCTCAAAAATGAGAATATTTTGAAAAAGGTGGAATATTCTTTCTACCTCAAAGTGTCCCACTCTAATCAGATAATTCAGCCATAACACCTGCAAAGGGGTTCCTGAGCCTTTAAATGGTCTCATCAGTCTGGTTCAGTAGGAATCACAATCATGGGAAAGACTGCTGACCTGACACCATCACTGACACACCCTCCATAAGGAGGGAAAGCCCTCAAAAATTAATTGCAAAAAAAGTTGAATGCTCACAAAGTTTTTCAAGCAGCATGTTTTTTCCTTAGCATCCTGGAGATTTTTTTTTGTCAGGAAAAGGCCATTCAAAAGTGTTTGGGACTTTCAAAAGGAGTGGACTGAAGGCTGGAGTCGGTGCATCTTTTTTACACAGATTTTTTCCTGGGACATGGGCTTCAAATGTCGTATTTCCTCTTGTCAAGCTGCTCCTGAACAACAAAAACGTCAGAAGCGTCTTTTACCTTTTTTTTAACGAAAAACAGACCTGGTTGTTGTTCAGTGGTCCAAAGTCCTCTTTTCTGATGAGAGCAAACTTTGCATTCATTTGGAAACCAAGGACCAAATTGATTGATATATGGGGAGGAAGAATGGAGGGGCACAAGGACCCCTGTAATGGAGGAAGAATGGAGATTAAGGTTTTTATTTAAATTAATGGAGTGCCAATAGAATCTATTTATTAGTCTTCTATTTTTTTTTTCCGAGTATGGATAAGAATGGAGAGGTTCACAAGGCCCCTGATATGGAGGAAGAATGGATTTTTTTTTCAAGGATTTCGAGTATGGATGAAGAATGGAGGGGCACAAGATTATTTGGAGTATGGAGTTTTAAATTTTTTTTTAA